GGCGGGTGCGGCGGGGCCCGGGGCCGGGCAGCTGTGCTGCCTGCGCGAGGAGGGCGAGCGCTGCGGCCGCGCCGCCGGCAACGCTAGCTTCAGCAAGCGCATCCAGAAAAGCATCTCGCAGAAGAAGGTGAAAATCGAGCTGGACAAGAGCGTGAGTCCCCGCGGGCCCGGGGTGTGTTGGGGGGAGGTAGTGGGGGGGGGGGGCTGCGGCGCGGGCACCGCCACTGCCCCCGGCCCGGGCGCCGCGTCCTTGCCCTTGGCGCGCCTGCCTGCCGCAGGAGAGCTGCTTGCCCTGTCCCCGGCCGCCATGGGGTAGAGCCGCGCTGGCCCCAGACAAAGCCCCGCGGCGGGGATCCCCCTCCCGAACGGCACAAAGGGGGCTGCTGCTGTGGCTGCTGCTACTGCGGGGGGCGCCGGGCGGTTTCAGCTGCGGAAACTTCGCGTTGGAAGAGCCCGGGGGGGAGGAGGAGGGAGGCTGCGGTCCCGGAGTCGTTGAAAGTGAAACTGCCGCCGACCCGCGCCGCTGCGGGCCTGAGCGCGGCTTGTTAAACCCCCGGGCCCGGCGTAGAGTGCCCGCCTCGGCGGCAGGGGCTCGAGTAGGGCGGTGGGGACCAGGGAGAGACACCGGCGGCTTTTAAAAAGATGACGACGGAGAAGTCATTTTCCTGCTGGCGGCGGGAGGGGGCTGGGCTCGGCTGCTCCTTGGAGTCGGCCAGTTGCTGCAGCGCGGGGGGTCTGGCCGGGACCGGCAGTTCTCCTCCGCCCCGAGTTCAGGCCACGAGACCTGGTGATGGCTCTGCCGCTGCCGAGTGTGACCACACGTGTCCAAACCCTGGCAAAATAATCGTGGAAAACATGGCTTTTTCTCGTTTTATTTTAGGCAAGGCATCTTTATATCTGTGACTTTCACAAAAACTTAATTCAGAGCGTGAGAAACAGAAGAAAGAGAAAAGGCAGTGATGATGATGGTGACTCGCCAGTGCAAGACATTGACACTCCAGAGGTACCTGCCTAGTTATTTATGTGGTTACCATGTAAAACTGATTCTTAATTGTCATGCTGTTGGCATGTATGAACATTCCTAATAGTGTTTTTTTTCTTTTCATTTAATTTGGAAGAAGGGGGAGTGCTCCTAGCTTAATGATGGCTTTAGTCACAAAAATATAACTTAATTCTTATGGCTGTGCTTCTGTAATCATTGTGTATGTTAGAATGATATATTCTAAGAAGCTTACATAAGGAATATTTGTTTTCTCCATTTTATTCATAATAATTCTCCTGGAACTAAAGCCTCTAACCTAAATCATAAATCAGTTTTGATTCTGAAACATTTTACTTTTCTCCCCAGATCCCTAGTATTGGAGTTATGTGCTTAGCCGCATAGCAGAACCATTTTTCAGCAGGAGTCAGGCAGTTACTGCACCACGATCCCAGCATTTATATTTTCAGTGTATAAAATACTTTATCACCTTTTAACTGTCCCTTAGCTTTCCCCGTCCTGCCAGGATGCTTACAGAACAGTGAGAAGTTGCTCTGTTCTGTTAAAAACACTTAGATATATATCATACATAAAAGTATAGTAGAGTTAAATCTTAAATGTAAAAGTATGTACTGTAATGCCACTATTAAATTCCAGGTTTTGGGGAAGTGGTTGCCTTGATCTGGCACATCCCATATACAAAAGCAGTATTTAAAACGTATATGCACCTTTTTGTTTCCCATTTCAGATGGGATGAAATACCCTTTTTTTTAATGCCCTGGATAAGTGAACTAAGCTGGAGGGTGAGTTGCCTGTTCAAGGTATCAAATATTTCAAATAGCATTTTTAAGATTTGGCTGTAGAACTTGTTCCTTCAGGTTCCCCGGTAATGCATTTGTCCATAAGGCGTTTTCACTGCCAGCACTTTGCTTTAAAATCCTGGGTTGACAGGAAGGAAAACACTTTTTTGAAGCCTCTGGTGAAGATGTCAGAGGTCCTGGCATATTCTGAGTCCTGTAAGATCTTATCTCGGTTCCTAGAGACTATTTTTTTTTTTGTGGTTCTCCCTGCAATTATCTTTGCAGTTACCCTCTTGAATCCCAGGGCTGCAGTTTTGGCACCGTTAGGACCACAGTTCCTGAACAAGCCAGTTCTCCTTTTCACATTTTATGGGATCAGCAGTTCTTGCTACAGCTGATATCTGCTGCTGACTCTTGTGAAGGACAAAAAAAAATAATGGTGACGAATTTACTGCTTACCGCATCTGTTCCTCCAAAGGAGGCTTAGTTCAGACCCACATTCTAAAAGCTACAGTTGTCACTTTAGACAGTGCTAGAAAACCCAAGGGTGTTTTTATTCCTCTCTCCCTGCCACCCCCACCCCCAATCTGGGCACTGCACCAGCAAGGCTCATGACTTCACTGATGGAAAAGAAATGAGTGCCCAATGCAATCTCTACTGCCTCCAGGAAGAAAAAGTTCTGTGCCAGTGATCCACTAGTTTCACCTCCAAGTCTATTTCAGAGGGCAGTTCAGAATGTTATTTTGGGCGGAATACTAAAGGCTGCTTGGAATAGAAGGACACTACGTAATACGTGTCTTTTGCCTTCATTTCAGTTGCCATATTTAATGAACTTTGAACTTAACATTGTTTCTTTTTTCCTAGGTTGATTTATATCAGTTGCAGGTAAACACGCTTCGAAGGTACAAAAGACACTTCAAGTTACAGACTAGACCAGGACTCAACAAAGCACAGCTTGTTGAAGTAAGTATGAACATCTGTTCTGTAGCAGGCAATGCAACTTGCTATAATATGTGAATCTCTGGAAAAGGTGAACCATAGGACAAGTAATACATCCTTACCTTTTGTAGAGAATATCCATACAGATTAACATAACAATGTCTATAGTTGACAGATGCCATGCTCAGTCAACTACTGAATTATAATTGGATTAGATCCTGTTCCAAAAGCTTTTTCTCTAACATAAAGGTAACAAGTGGACTAGATTTTTTTGAGAACAAAAATAAAGTATTCATTTAGTTTTCTGCTGACCTGGTTTTTCTGTCCCCAGCCCCATAGCCGACAGAGCTGGGGTTATCAAAATAAATCATAAGTAAAAGTTCAGTTTAGAGAAATTGATTTTTAGAACTAGGTACTTTAAAAAGAAACCTGGAATCAGGTGCAGAATTGGAACTCTAGTGTTGAGAAGCATCCTATAAGTTTCTGAATACTTGGCCTGACTTGTGCTGTAAAGCCTATAGATTTCAGTGGGAATGACAGTGGAATGAGGTTCACTTATTCTGCCCTAAAGTTTTACTGTGTTTTTAATGAAGGGATCATGGTAATGTAATGTGAAACTCGCATATGCTATTTCATGTTTCCACTTACAAGCCTAGAATACAAGCTTACAAAATAAAACAGAGAAATTTCTGTGAGAATAACAAGTCCGATTTGGTAAAAGATCAATATTCTAAATATTTCATATTTAAAATATTGCAAAACACTTTTTGCTTTTCAGCTTTGTTCACTTGACTGTTGTTTTTTTAATGTGTTCAGTTTTGCACTCCTGGCATGCAGTCCTAGAATGTTCATTTAAATACCTCTTCTGACAACTTCTGCTTCCCTATTAAAAACTTAGATGCATGTTTAGTTCTTAGGCTACTTCAGTGCCGTATTATAACATTTATGTGCAGGCGTTTTGTAGATCTCTTAAGTACAAGTTTCAAGACCGCTGTAAAATTATAGAGTACTTTCAATATTTTTGCGGCTAAGTATGAGTTTAAATGTGGTACTTTCCTGTTCACCTGTGACTTCAAAAAAAAAAGAGTAGGGTGCTCATTTAAATTGGTGCAACTAAAACTGGAATGAAGGCACAAGTGACTTGTTTTTACAAATTAAAATAAGTTAGGTTCTCGGGGATGAAGTCAGGTCTTAAAGAACATGTTCATTGAGGCCTCAGGTGCTGTAATGCAGAGTAACCCCTTTACTAGCCAACTCTGGCTTTCATCTTAAAGCAAACTGTGAAATTTAACATTTTTAGACATGAGAGATTAGGATTTCCTGCTTTTACATGTAACTATATCTTAACTTGTTCACTTGATTACAAAAATAATCTTATTTTCTCACTCTTTCGGAACCTTCTGTAAACTTCCTGTGTCTGTGGGTATTTTACACACCATCAGGGGAAAGAGTAAAATTGCAAAACCAAGAAATTAGCAACTAGAAACAGGGAAAGTACCTGAGATTACTTTGTTTCTTGAAACTGGCAGCCTAAAGTAATACCGAGTAAAATTCTCAATACTCCAAAGTGACTGCAGAACCTCTTTTTGGAGAAAAAAATAAAAAATTAAATGGTATCTCTTGTAAAAGGTTGTAACAGACGTTAAAATTCCACCATTGTAACAGTTCCATTGTATAGAGGAAGAAATAGAAGGACCTCTTCTACCCAACCACCTTTTTGGGGCTCCATTTTTACTAACACAGTTCTGATCAAGGGTCTTACTATGTCCTTTTTTCTATTCTGTGCTTTACCACTGAACCTGTTCACAGGTTTTGTGGATTTTTATCCCTCTTCCTTCCCTGTCGTGTGCATCTCTTTCCCCCCCCCTTCTTTTTTATTTCCTCTTTTCCCTTCACATTAGGGCATTCTTTTCTTGTAGCTCAGGAAACAGTGGCTTTTGCTGGATCAGACCCTGACTGCCCAACTAGAATATACTTCTCAATAATGCAGTGATTCACAGCCTACTTATTTTGCCTCTGTCCAGCAGCCTGAGTCATGTCTTTACCAGTTCTATTTTTCACCTGCCTGATGAAAAGAAAAAAAAAAGAAAGAAAAAAGCTTTCATTTAAAGGAATATGTCAACTCCGTTAGTTAATTTTTAACCTTAGTTTCTGCATGCGGCAATTGTGAGTGTATTGACTTTTATGATCAAATGGCTGTTTAACTTCCTTGAACTTTCTCTTTGTAGATAATTGGTTGCCATTTTAGGACTATTCCAGTGAATGAAAAGGACACCTTAACATATTTCATCTACTCAGTGAAGAATGACAAGAACAAACCAGATCTAAAGATGGATAGTAGTGTTCACTAGGATAGAAAAATTGGGACTAAGACTCAAGTTACAAATCAAAAGACTGTTTTTGACATACAGAAGCCTTCTTTGTAAATTTTTTTCAGAGAATTGTCTCTGACTTTTATTTTTCATGGTCTTGCTGACTCATTTGAAAACAGCCTCCTCTAAAATGCAATTTCCTTGGCAAAAATATTTTAAATAAATATTATTGATATTGTTGCTGAAGTGGGTGTGTTTGGAATTTATTTAGTGAGTTGCTGTGTCTGCATAGTTTGAGATTAGTCGATTATATATTTATTGCTATTAAATGTTCATTGTGTTCTTCAGTTACAGAACTATACTAAATGTTTGAAATATGTTTAGAAAGTATCACAGTGCAATATTGCTGCCGCATTCAGAAAACAGTGTTTTAAGATAAAAGGCCATAATAGAATTGCGCTGAACAGCGTGAAAAAGTTCCACTTGTAGTTAATCATAACCATAACTGTGTGAATAACTCCTAGCCTACTAAAACTGACATGCTGGGGTTTTTTAGATTTATCTCTTCATTATCTTACCTGTTGGGATATGAACTGCCAATATTTAAGGTCTTCCTGCCAGTATAGAAGAGAGGCGATTGTTAGGACTCTTGGTTATTCAGTGTTATAATACCCACAGTTCTGAGTATAGAACTTCTGTTCTCCTTCAACAAGAGGTTCTGAATGCTGCTACTCCGTTTATCTCTGTCTATCTATAATATAAAACTATGCCGTGTTGTAGAACTTACATTGAAGAATGGAGAATTGAGTTTTTGCTGTGCAGTTTGTAGTATGTTAATTTATTTCATTTCTTGTTCCATTGAAGCCTGCAATAACTAAAACTATAAACACAAGAAGGTAACTCATCTTCAGGTATACCACCACAATCTGCACACTGTATATTTTTTTCTTTAGTTGTCTAAAACAGGGACCAACCCTTTTGGCATGCATGCCACAAGTTAGCCCTGCATCCTCCACAAGAGGTACTCCAATCCTCCTCCCCTGTTCAATCTGCTACTCTGCTTTCTGATCCCAACCCTGTGTTCCCTGCCGAATCTTCTGCTATGCCCCCTGCTCCCTGGCAGATCTGCTTGCCTTCCCATGCCACTTGTAACACTCATGCCGCAGGTTGGACACCCCTGGTCTACAACATTTGTTACCAGTGATATTAAACATTCTGTGGTTCCACTTAAGACTGAAACGTTAGGATCTAGTTGATGTGCTTTTCCCTCTGTGATGTCTACTGACTCCTGTGTGTATGAGGGAGGAGCAAAGAGGTACAGTTGTACTAGTATCTATCTCAAGATACATCTGTGTCCCCCTAGATTTGCTTGATGGACATATTGGATATCACTTCCTAACCAATTTTCAGCCACTTTTTCTCTTCAAGAAAAAATACCATTTTTGTTTTTCAAACATATATATTTTCTTGTTACTACACATGGTAGTTTTAGCAAGCTCTTGCTGGAATCAAAAAATTTGTTCTTCCTGCTCAGCATCAGGTGAATTAGATGTTTGATTTAAGGTTCTGTTTTGTTCCTCCTCCCCTTCACCTGTTATGCTTTGTTCACAACTTAGTCATCATCACTAAGTGCAAAACAATATCTTTCACTGCAGTTATTAAATAATGGAATTTCTTTACTTTTTCAGTGTCCCATCTATTTCCACATTAAAGTTCTGCAGTGCTGACTTCAGTTCAAGCTGAATAGTGCTATTTAGCTGAAGTCAGTGTTTGTACATTTCAAGCATCTCTTCACTAAACATGTTTGTGCATGCATTTATTGTAATACAAAGTGCTTAAAGATTGCAAGCTAATTGTATCCAATTATGACCCTTGACATGCACCATCCAACTGAGAGAAAACTGGTCTCTCTTTACAGAGCAAGTTAGACAGTCTGGTAAGAAGAAAGAATCCTAAAAGGTGCATCTAACCCATGATATCTTAACTGTGTTTTGTTAGGGCTTAAAATCCTTTTGTGTACTTGACTCTGGCAAGCAGAATTTTCTTTGGCTGATGGGGAGAGAAATCCTAAGTTTCTTTAGGATTTAAGGCCAGCACCGGCCATTTTAACTGGTTGCATGTGTAATGTGGTGATGCCTTTGAGAATCTGCAAACTGGATAGTTTTACCCAACTGGCAGCAGAAGAAAGAAGCTTGCAACAAAATTTTCAAGAATAGTCCAGTTAACTAATTGTCAGGTTTGCTGTTCTGCTACTAGTGCTTTGGACAGCTACAAGCAACAGGGGCAAGTAAGGCCTTGTTCTTGCAACATAAGTGGAGGACTAAGGAATATGCCATGATTATTGGCAAGAAAGCCTCCAAAGTTCTAAGTCTTTGACTTCCTACCAGGGCTTTTTGCACCTGCTAAAATTCTCTTTAAGCGTATTTATCCCTGGACTTGGCCTAGAGTTGATTTGGTAGTCTGCTTTTACATGTCAATTTGATCTGGCAAGGGGAAGAAAATGAACAAAGAAAAACTATGTTGTGAGATTACTAGGTGCAAGACAGCGTGGCTTTAAGTAATTTTGAAAATACTTTATACAAACAACTTAGATTGTTGGTTTACTAAATAAGTATATTATTACTTCCATATACTTCAGCAAACCATTTCTTTTTGCCAGTTGGTACTGCATCACCACTGGCAGAGAATGTAGTTTTTCAATAATGTTAGTAGTAGTAAGATAGTAAGACTTACAAACACTTTTTTTGTTTGTTTTTTGTGTTTTTTATAATATACTCACACATAATACAAACTCTTCATGTAAGAGTAAAGTATGTTTATCTATTTGGTAGTAGCACTCACTAATGCTTATAACTTATACCATGATTATTGCACACTATACTACAGAAAGTGTATTTGAAAAGGATAGCAACATGAAATAGCTATATAAAGATATTCTGCACTAGGCTTCTTTTTTTTCCCCCCCTCATCTGTCTAACTCGATAGCTTCAGGAGAGTACTTTATTTTTGTTAATGGAAAAGTATTTCTGATAGCTGAAGTGAGGCTCTCACTTCAATAACTTGCATTAAATGAGCTATTCAGAAACTCTTCTCTTTGTTTGCATCTGCCACTGGCATCAGTAAGAGCTTAGCATGGAGGAAGAGAGGATCAACTTGCTGAGAGGCACTTTGTTAAAATTAAATGAGCTTTCTCTTTTTAAAAACAAAACAAAGAAAAGAATGAAACTTCCTTTCATGAGTTCTAATTGTATCTCTGTCTTCCTAAAGAGCTGTTCAAACAAAATGCTAGTTCTGTATCTTCGCTACTGAGATGTACCATAGTTCAAATGGGTTTCAATCCAAGTCCTGTTGGAGTCTTTCCATATCCTATAGCAGACTTGATCAAGCCCTGCACAATACATCTCCTTTAAATTGCTAAGTTTATAGCAGCTGTATAGTGCAAACATGAGTTTTTAAAATCTTAATAATAATGCTAGGGACCCCAATTATGGATAACTCCTTGTGAATTTAGAGCTCAGTTGTGATGCCACTGAAATTGTCATCTAGTATTAGAAAATGAAGCTCCAGGCTACAGTAAATGGCAATCTGGTCCTAAAAATCTTTCTTGCTAAGATACAGAACAACACCAGGAGATTTTTAAAGAATGGTGATCTTACATATCAGAACAATAGTGAATGAAAATTTCTAGCGCACCCCTTCTTGTTGTTTCATTGAAAAATCAATGTTGCTACCAAGTTAGAAAGGAGAGCTTTTAGTATTAAAACTTCAAGGCTCCATTTGTCTTTGAATAGGAAGCTTATTCTACTTTGTACAGTAAGGCTCAGCACACTAGGGCTGTTTAATGGAATAGAATTTTTTCATGCAGTGTTATTCTTCCGTTAAGTCCATATATCGTCATCAGTGGTTCACATGACATTCATCACTCACTGTTGCAAGGAACCACGAAAGAAATTTTTGGTCCAAAGAAAATACCCCTGAAAGAAAATAGGAGATATTTAAAATTGTAAAGTTATTAGAACCTATAAAAATAAATCCATTTACTATTTCTCTGCTGCAGCTAGCTTTGGTAAAAGGAATTGGGAGAAATGTATATAGTGAAATTTGTGCAGAAACTAAACTAATGTAATGGAAAAACTCCCACTAACTTCAAAAGGGTTGGGATTTTACCCTTGGCGTCATAACTTCACTTTCTACAGAATGTAATTTGGTTCCACTCCAGGAGTGGCCAGGTTGCCCCTGGAGCCTCCTCGGTCCTTGTCAACTTCACTCTCTTTGGGCAATCACCCTATCACTCACCTGCTATGTATGCCTTGATGTATTTATATTTTAGATAAAGGGGGAGGGTGCCACTGGGCTTCCCAAGCTTTGATCTCATGCTGCTGAGCTCAGGGGTCTCTGCCTTAAGGTCTAATTGCATGGCTGTGACTGCCCTTTACACCATACTGATGCCTCACAGATGTTGCTCATTCCTGCCAAACCCCTCCTGAACTATGGGCTCTCAGCCCCAGTCCTTGCCCCTCTTGGGGTATGGGATCCTTAGCCCTCCTTGCTTTGGCTGTGACCCCTGGCCTTTGCCCCCTCTCTCTCTCTGGGCCCTGGCTCTGCTCCTAGGCCAAGTGAGATTCCTGGGCTCCCCTTTCCCTACTAGTCTCTATAGTCCTCCTTTGCCTCTGGGCCCTGGCCCCACTCCTGAGCCAGTGTGACCTTCGGGCTCCCTGGCCCTGTTGACACTCACCTCTCCTGGGCTACAGACCTCGGGGCTCCCTGGCTCCTCTCCCTTCTGGACCACCTGGGACCTCCATATCTTCCCTTAGTCCCTTCCACAAACCAGCAGGGTTGCTCACCCCCATCTCAGGTGTTAATCCTGCCACCCTGCTGCAGCCCCACTGCCCAGGAGCTCCTTTTCCTGTGGCTTGGGGCTGGAGTGCCTAACCAGTTCAAACCCTGGTCTTACATGCCCCAAGCCTGGCCCTCTTCTGGTGAAGTGACACTAATTGGCCCCTGCCGCATCTGCAGACTGCTCCTCAAGCAACTTATTCCATCTTAGTGACACACACACTAAGTGCCTGGTCACATACCTCCCCTTTTTTCTTCACACTTTCACCTGGGGTTTTCCATCCTCACCTCCCTGAGTCCAGCTTCCTGTCTGCAAGTGATCCCTATTTGGTTCTCTAAGGCTGCCTGTTATGGGTGTCATCTTTTCCTGCACCCCACAAGTCCTCTATTTGGTCCCTGTACTTTCTCTT